AAACATGCTCAGACTAAAATCTATTTAAAAAAAACCATTTTTTAAGGGAATTCAAGATTACTTTTCAATAAGTTATGTTTATATTTAATGATCTCTGTTAATAGAGTATTAAGCATGTTTGCAATGCTCATGTTGCAAAGAAGTCATACAATGAATACAGAATTTATTAAAAAATGCATTGTCTGTTCTCAGCATTAAAGATTTGTTTTACTTCCTACAGATACACATAATATCCCAAACAACTTAGGTATAAAGTACTCTTCTGGTTTTTCAGTAAATATTTCAGTAGTTCCATGGAATTTAATTCCCACTTTACTATTACACAAGTGACAGTCTGAAGGGATTAACAAATTCTTAACTTTTTTCTCCTGTGTCAAAAGAAACAGCTCCATTCCATGGACAGACACAGGTGGTATCTGCTGGCCATAATGGAGGCAGAGAATGTATTGTTTATCAGAAATGCTGGCTGCTGTTAAAATTATTCCTGACATTTTGCAGCACAGGCTAACAAGTAAAAGACACTATTTCAATAAACAAAATCTCTTATTAGTATCTAATTCTCATGGTCTTGAGGATACTTAAATCAGACTCTACAGTGAGCCCCTATTTTAAGCATTCTCTAAGCTGTGTGCCTCTACGTACTTGAGGAGCAACTTTAACTGGTTCTTCAGTAGAAAAATCTTCTGCTTTCCAGAAGCAAAATGTTTATTTATGTAAATATTGTGACTTCAGATGCAAACCAAAGTCAATAGCAAACCTATTTTTTTCCTCTAAAATACACAGGGGACTAAGTACAGGGACTGCTGGTGTAAACATACTTTCAGAGATGTCAGTCTCCAGATATGGAATCTAGAATCTGTAGTTATAAAATTATTGTTATGGGGTAGCAGTTTTAATTACTATGTAATTTTAATTACTAAATTACTGAAGTGTTTTTGGAGAATGTAATAATAGCTTTCCTACTTTTTAAGTCACATTATCTTATTTCCATGGCTTATAAGACTACACAGTTACTGAAGAAGAAAAATCTTCAGTAATTCCATTTAATATGCCATTGCTGCCTGTTTGTCTGCCCATTGGATACATGCAGCAAAAACATTTCCAGATCTAACAAAGAATATTTTATTCCTTTTAAATTACCACAGTGTTTCAGTATTTCATTAAAATCATAACATGCTTTCAGTAATATTTTTGCAGATTACATTGCATTAGGGAATCTTATGATGATGTCATCACACTGGACAGATTATTGTCTAGAAAGGGTTATTGTCTTTCATGTCAATTTTTTTTGTACACTTTTCAAACAACAAGCATCTGTAAGATAGAAGGGATGAAGAAGCTGAGAAGACTTGATTGTCAAAACTACCAGTGAAAGAATGGAAGCAAAGCACTGCTGATTTGCACAAAAAATTTTTTATGTTACTTTTCTTCCACAGTTTCCCTGGAGAGAAGGACTGAAAATACAGGCTGCTGCCACCCTTCCTTCAGGAAGGAAGAACACTTCCACTTTATATAATCTCATAGTGAAGATGTGGGTTCAGATGCCCTTGGGCAGAGCAGGGATGTGAACTGGTTTTCCCACATCCTCAGTGAATGTTCCAGCCACCCGAGTACTGGAAAGGGCTGGGATTATTCTCCCTTCCAGCCTGTGAAACGAGACTTTTGGTTCTAATGCTACTTATGAAAAGTGATGGGCACTAAAATATTGCAGAAATGTCAAAATAAAATGTTCTAGTCTGCCCTAAATTGGCCTTTTAAGTTTAGTTATTTATTTGTTTGTTTAGAAAACAACTACTACACAGAGGATCATTCATCCATTTTCTACATTCAAGGTAGTAAGTCCAGCTGCTCAAAACTATTCTTTCTCAGACAGTCAAACTCTATCATCCCTATCAGGACATGGATATTGTTTTATATTTATATTTATATATTGTCTTTATCACCTTGGATATCCTTATTGATCATTCTGCTCTTGTGCCTTAGGGACAGACACAAGATTTATACTCATTTCATTTCCCTGTACCATGTTCAAGAAATGTATAGATCACACATATTTTTTCTCCAGCTTGACAGAGCACTGGGACATCAGTTCCATCTGGCCTGCCACAACCAGTCCTGCTTTAATGGCCCACTCCATCACCCACTGATATCTCCATACAGCACTTTGGCAAAGCACCTCCTTCAATTACTTTGCATTTGAAGTCTGTTGCTGGGACCCAACTTTCATCACATATTCTGAGGAAAATATCTGTGTATCCTGTGAGCATAAAGCCTCTTCCTCAGGTATTCTTTCATTTTCATTCTTGTAAAGAGAATGAAAATGCTTATTGAAACTAAACTTGCTTATTGAAACCAAACTTCTAAGTTAATTCTTTAAGAAGGGAGAATAAATTTCATATCTTGGTCTATTTTCATATAAAACCACTTGTGCTAAAAATTAGATACTTCTCTACCTCCTATTTTTTAATAATAGCTTGTACCTCTAGATATGAAAGTTGTCTGTGCAAGTACAGAGTTGTATTCTTTCATTTGTTGACATATTTCAAAAATATCAGAAAATAATCAAAATATTGAAACTATAAAACTGCAACATATTAAAAAGGGATAGTCATGTAAAACTGTACACTGAAAAATCATAGTAATAAGGTATGCCTAATATTAATACTATAAATTTTGAAATAATTGTGATAAAGCTACTTTGTATTTAAAACCACTTAGATAGTTTTAGAAAGGACTCCTGAGAACTGAAAAACCACAGTGATAACCTCATTCAAATAGTAATTTATTATTCTGAGAGAGAATAGTTCACATAAGTACAATTTCTCCCCAATTCTTCAGTTCTACAATTAGATTTCTGATTTTCCAAACCACAGGCACATTCATATTTTGACTGGGTAACCTACATTTCCAAGTCTGGAGGCTCATGACTGAGGGGGTTGATGCCACAGCAGTATCTGTTAGGCATCCTCCAAATGCCTCCATCTCTTCTCTGTCACTCTGGTACTCCTTCTCTTCTGAGAAGCCTCTCTTGGTGCTCTCTTAAGTATCACGCCACATGCAGAAGACTGGCTCATGCATTTCCTCTTCATTCTCTGCTTCCCCAAATCCTACATAATGTGAAAATGTCAAGAACATTAACCACCATGTAGGCTCCCTGTTAACTGAATTCCCTGGTGATTATCACTGTAATCTCTTTTTACACCATCTTAATCCTTCTTATGTGGACTCACATATAAAACTGGAAATAAAAATATTTCAGAAAGCTATCATTAACCCTAGCACCAAGCTTTATTTCTAATTCAGATTTAACTTCCTGAACTAGTTTGGTGAATATGGAATACAATAATCCATATCAGAAGATGATTTCTGGATGTTTTCCAAGTCAAAGTAGAATTAACATATACTGGGGTTTTTTCATTAACATCAGTTATTTCATCATCAGTTATTTCAGTTTCAAAACTAAAAGAAAAATGTAGCTAAATAATAACTCAAACAGTACAGTGGACTTTCCTTTCTTAATGCTGATGTTAGTAGCAAAAATTGAAATGCTCCTTCCATCATTGTCCTGTATTTTGAGTAAAAAACCCAACCAACCAACCAAAAAAAAAAAAAAAACCACAAAAACAAACAAACAAAAAAACAAACAACAAACAAAACAGAAATACTCTGACAATAAAATACATAATAACACGTAAACATAGGGATGGAAGATTCAAACTACACTGAAGTTTTTTGAGCACTTTCTGAGAAATATCAGCACTGAAAACGTTGGACCTTCGAGCATTATATGGGCACTTCAGGGTGATGGACGAGATGCAGTATCAGCCTATCTAGCTCAGAGTCAGGTGAAAAACAGATGTTTTTGTAGTCAATAACAATGAAAAACTTTTCTTTGGGCGTTAGTGTTTTGCCTTGACAATCACACCTTCAAAAGAATTTCATCAGAAAGCAGAAAATCACCATGCGCTGTGATTAGCTGTAAAATCTTTTTGGCAGGACCATCTGATGTGGAGCTGTTACACACCCCACTGCATGAAATTGTGTCACTGACTTCTCATCAGGGTGAAATCTTAACCCTACTCAGTAGCATCTGATTTGTGACCAATTTAATTGTAGCCGCAATTACCTCCTTCATGTTTTTTAACATCTTCAGACAAGACAACTAGCTGCTTCTGGCCAAAGCAAACAAGGAAGCACCTTCATGGCAGATTTCCCTGCCATGATCTTGTGAAAAATGGTTTTGTCTATCCTATTTCTAATAATGACTGACAGAGAGAGCTGAAGTACTTCGAATTTTGGGGAAAGGTTGAAGCTGGGCACAGAGATCTGCAGACAAAGGTTTTCCCCTGTAAAGTGCAGTTTTGCAGGCTGCAGGTGTTGGTCCTGCTCCAGCAGTGTACTTCCACCCAAACAAATGTCACAAACTGTGCTCTGCTGAGAACGGGCCCGACAGCTCCATGAAGACATAAAAAAGCCAGTACAAAACTGTGCTCTTCAACTGCCCGCGCCCACACCACGGACACCAACCTGCCCAGGTTAGCGTGAAGGTTATTTTGAACTCAGTTTTTTTCCACAAGGTCTTTTGTAAGTGGGCAATGGGTTTTGCCCCCCTGTGTCAAAGGGAACCACAGAGGGATCTGTTACGGGGGCCTCTTGGGAAGGATGTGAACTGAGGTACTACATGGAGGGAAGGGGCGAAGTTGCACTGCCCCTGGCCCCGCAGGCTGTTTTCTCCCTCATTTCTCCCGCTGGTTTACCGATCACCGCAGTGACCCGCTCCAGATGTGAGGAGTGGGAAGTTTTGGTGGCAATAACCCAGCCAAAAGCTGGGGAGTCCGGCCAGCCCCGTGCCTTCCAGGACGAGGGACGGCGAGGAGCCTGAGGATGCGATCCGCTGGCAGGACAGGAGCAGCGGCTCCCGCGGCCTCCCCAGCCCGGCAGGACTGCGTGTCCCGGCAGGCCGAGCGGCGGGCGGCGCGCATGCCCGGCCGGCACAGCCCGGCACAGCTCCCGCCCCTCGGCCGGGCCGTGCGCGGCGGAGCAGCGGGAACACCATGGAGGCCGTTCCGCAGCCCCGGCCCCGGCCCGGCGGGGCCGCCGCCGCCCCGCCGCCCCCGGAGCAGGAGCGGAAGCTGGAGCAGGAGAAGCTGTCGGGGGTGGTGAAGAGCGTCCACCGGCGGCTGCGCAAGAAGTACCGAGAAGGTAACGCGGGGGAGGGGCCGCCCCGGCCGGGTCCCCGCTGCCCCCGCCGGCGGCGGCTCGGGGTGTCCCCCCGGCGGGCGGGGCTGGCGGGCCGGCCCGGTACCCCTGGCGCTGCCGGGAGGGTGGAGGGTGGCCGGAGCAGCGGCCGGGAGCAGCTCCGCGCTCGCTTCCTGCTCCTCCCCGGCAGAGCGGGGTCTCCGTTGCCATCGGTGCCCGCAGCCCCGCCGAGGGCACCTGGTTGGGGCTGCCGGAGCTGTGCTGCTCTCCTGGAGCTGCTGGCAGAGCGGCCTCCTTCCTGGCTGGGAGGGAGCGTCCCGGTCGAATAGCTGTGTTTTCCAAACTGAGGATCTGCAAGAGCGAGGACAGTAGGTCACGAATGCCAAGAGAGATTGAATGGTGATCTGGAAAGGCACAGGTCTTTGTGAATTGTAAATTTCTCGGGTCCTTCAGTCGTAGAGCAGTAGTTCAGGCTGGAGCACTAAGCAAAAGGGTGGGGGTAAAGCTGTTGTAAAATAAATTACTTGGAGTCCTTGGAAAGTCAACTTTGTCATCAGTATTAATGCCCTTATGCAAGGTTCCTGTGGGGGGTAATGGAATGCTTTAAAACCTCTCTGAAGTGCTAGCACAGATTGTAGAACGTTCATCTATTCATTCTTGCAGTCCACAGCTCTTTGGTGCGTACCTGCAGAAGGACACACACAAAATGAGGATCTCTTCCTGTTGTAGGCACTAGTTCTTGCCTCTCCTCTGTATGTGCTTATGACACTTGGTTGAAGAAACAAGGTCATACTGCCTTCTGGACTTCCAAAGTCTCCCCTGGAGCCAGTTCGTGGGATTTGGGCACAAATACCTACCTATCTAGGCACTGACTGAATGTTGCTGTTTGTTTTGGCCTTGGTGAGCCAAAACTGAAGGATCTTCCTTCTTCACTCAGATTTTGGGAGAATGAACCTAATATATTCAAACATTGAAATTCTGGCAAAGGAGTCCAGCTTTTAGCAGTATGTGTTTCTCTGTTATTCCAGAGTGCCTGCAGATTAAGACAGACAAACGTTGGCAGTGTTAACTTTATTTTTTTAAAGTGAGTGATCCCTGTAACATCTGAATTTTTTTAGATAAAAGCCTAAATTACATGGAAGTCATTGTAAGCCTACTGCTCAACAAAGAGCAAGTTTTTGTGCAAGGGTAGGTTGTATATAACTGGTTAAGCAAAAGACAAAATAGCACCCTCATTTTACTTTGTATGTCCTGTAAATCATGAGTTAGTGAAAACTTTAGAGTGATTTTTCTAGTCATTCTGAATTAGCAACATGATATGTCATTTCACTGAGGATTCAAACCAACAATTCATCACATCTGTACAACAAGGAGAGCTCCACCCATTACCTACTCGTCCAATAGTAGGTGGTCCTTATAAGTTACTAGTGGTTAGTGGTCATTTGTACTTCATGTTAGGTTCTTTTAACTTAGGAATTTTATTTTTCGTGTCTTTCTCCCTACATCTCTCTATGCTTCTAAAAGCAGATTTGAGAATCTCCTTCTTAAAAGCCGTTAGTGCCATTCTGAAATTGTAATACTAAGACATACTTGACCTCTGAAGGATCTTTTCTTGGATTCTTTTTTTCTCTAATACTCGGTGACACTAACTGGCAAGTAACTTAGCCTGAAAAAATCAAAGATGGCAGTTTGCTAAAGCAAAGTAAAAAATCAACAAATAATCTGTAATTTCTCAGCGCAATTTGAATTATAACCTGAGTATGAAAAAGCAAAGAGAAAACACCCACGTCCTTGCTTGTGTGCTTGCAGCTCATTACACAGGGAAAGTGTCTTGACTCCACAGTGCAGTGCACTCACCTACACATGAAGCAGTTGCATTATTCTGTATTATTCCAGTCTTGTATTGTCTTCTTTTTTCTTTTCTTTAACTCTCTCTGCCTCTTCTTATATTTACTAAAGTTCTGTGAAACTAGTTTCCATTTTGTCTAAAAAAGCAAATATGTAAAATTGCTGTTGCAAGGACTTCAGTGCTTTGTAGGAACTAAAATAGAATCGCATATTAATTTTGTTATTAGATGGAAAAGCACGTTGACTGCCCTTCTGAAAGCTACATTATTATGTTGCACAGGGTAGATATGTTTAAGAAAGCCCTTGATATTGTAATATGATCTTAAGTTATTGTCTTCTCGTAGAAGTGTTGCATTAGATCTGTCCTTGAGACACTGAGATGTGTGTTGACAGAAGTTACATAGGCTTGATTTTAATAAGCTGATTTCTTGTAGAATTCATTTGCCTTGCTGGTGTTAGCAGGATTTGTATTTTAATGGACAATTGTAAAAGGTAAGCTAGAGTATTATCTGAGTTGCTTATAACTGTCACCATTGCTATAATTTTGTTTCATTTCTGCAGTGGTTCCCCTCTTTTTTGAAGATGAGCTAGTGGAAAAGTGACAGTATGGTCCAAAACTGCAAGCTAACATGTTTTTGCAGAAGTTGCATGCTTGTCAAAGTGCAAGAGCAATATTCCTTAACTAGGGATGCATCACAGCAAATTTTTTGCTGTTACTAAGGAATTGCTACAGTTTAGTCAGCATCATTTAGTCATCTAAAGGGTTTTTTTTTTTTTTTAATTTGTTTTTTTTCTGGTTAAAAAAGAACTCTTGAGGTTGATCAAAACTGAACCTTGGCTTATTTTTTAATTTCTGCACTTGTTGAATTGCTTCTATTAGTAAGTGTAGTGTGTTGATTTTTTATGTACTTCTGTACTGTGACTCATGTCATATCATAGTCCCAGAGCACGCCAGTGTATTTAGGACAAGCATTTATCATCTTTGAAATGGTGCAGCTTAAATGCTTTTAAATTTTATTTAATTAAAATGAAAATTGATACTATTTTATGACATGAGGTTTAAGGTATGGTTGCCTTTAAAGTTTGCACACCACAGTTTTGCAGTGAAGCTTTCATTATAAATCCCATAATATTTTACATTTTGCAGGATTTAATTATTGCTATCATTTAGTTAGCCCATAAATTTGAAGAAGCACTGGCTGCAACACAAGTTTGCACCTATTGAACAAACAAGTTTATGTCACCTTCTTCCCTGCTCCTTTATTGCCCCAGCAGGGAAGTTCGTGTTCCTATTGCAGCGTCAGCATAATGAAATCTGTACCTATGCATCAGCTGCATCCAGTTTTTTTCTCCTGCATTTGCACAAATTGCCAAATTCAGTAGTTTCTGTTAAAAGCGTTCATCTCTGTGTTGGTGGTGTTAAGGTGGAGCTCATAGTCCATCCAACAAAGTCAGGCCTGGGGAACAGGAGAGTGAAGTTTCCAGCAGAGTAGATCCAACACCTGGGGGCAGTAATTGCTTAAACTATCAGAAACAGGCACCCCAGTGTTTGTGTGACAGCCATCAGAGACGTGTAGCAGATCAGAGGCACAGATCAGTCTTCAAGCTGATCTAAGCTGACCCTGTAGATGCTGAAATATCAGATGAATTGTACCCTCTGAGTCTATTTAGCATAAACAGATGGATAGGAAGTTTATCTGACGAGTCAAATGTAAAAATCCACATTTGGTCAAATGAATCCTTTCTGTGTAAGTAGAAGGGAGGAACATTGATACTGAGAGAAAATTAGATTCTTGCACTTCGGGTTTTTTAAATATTTTATTCTGCAGTATTTCAGGTAAATCCTGAGAAATGTAAAGCAAACACTAGTCAGCCAAGAGAAGGAAAATATTAGCTCTGATTGCTTGAACTTTGTCCAAGTTGAAGTTCATGTTCTGTAGATAGACATGTAAAATTGGGAAACATTGAAGCCAAAATACCTTATGTCTTTCATAAGGAATGTTAGATATACTTTTAGAAGACAGATGTTCAGTAACTTTATCTTGTGTATACTGAAAATTATGAATGTCATAATTGCTGATACTCTTCATGTAATTAATTTTTCTTGTCATTGCCACAACATCCATACATTAGTAGTACAGCTAAATTTCAACGGATGAGGTTAATGAGGAAATTTTGTCAGATATTCATAGAAAGTTAATTTCAGCTTTAGCCTAGTGAACAGTGTAAGATTGCTTTTCCCATTTACTGTTTAATATGTTGTAGAAACTAGTTTACTGTTTCCAGCAAGTGAGAGCTGGTCTTAAGAGACTGAAAATGAGATGGATTTTTTTCATTCTGCACTGCATTGCCATCAACAAAAAAGAAAACTCAGATATGCTAGGCATTGCTATGGCCAACAGCCTATCATCTGAAGTTATCCAGTGTTGTCATGGACACTCATTAGTTGTGGAGATAGGTTTGCTTTTTTACAGTGAGCAATCTTCATTTTTATTAGTTTATTATTAACATTAATAACCATTATACAAATATTAACATGTCAGTTTTGCTTCTGTCTTTTGTTGGTAGTCAATGTATTGAGCTTATTTTCTCATCTACCAGAGCCATCAAAGCTCTGGTAGAGAAGAAAATAGAAAGGCAATTTGCTGTAAATGGAGGTATTGAAAAAGGAGTGTATTGAATCTGATTTTTTACATTATTTGTATTTGCTAAGGCTTCAGGCCCTTAAACCCTTGTTTGGTCTCTCTTTTTTTTTTTCCTCAATTACAACTACCTTGAATTCAGAATATTTCACTTTTCCAAAAGGAAATAGTGGCAGTTTTAATTCCACTTTTTCTCAAGTGCTAAAGTGATGTTTCTTTTAGAAGAAGTTGTTGCTTAGGATCTAAACCTACACTGTGTGTACCTGAAGGCTTAAATGCACAGTGTCAATTAAATTTTGGGTTGCAAAGTTTATTCGATGATGGATGAAGTATTTTGTGCTTAGTTTTGAGATCTTCAGAGATGCCAGCACTGTTTTTTGAAGAGTACCAATGAAATTAAGGAAAATAGTTATTACACATCCCTTCTTGTGAGTACAGATAATACTTTTATATTTATTATACTTCTATATGACAAATATTTTACTACTTGATAAAACAGAATTATTCAGAACA